CTCAGAGTTTTTATCAAGTTTAGTCCTTAAATCAGATAAAGTAATTATTGTAGGTGATTTTAATATTCATGTGGATGTTGACAATGACAGCCTTAGTAATGCATTTATATCATTAATAGACTCAATTGGCTTCTGTCAGAGTGTAAATAAACCAACTCATTGTTTTAATCACACTCTTGACCTTGTTCTATCATATGGCATTGATATTGAACATTTAATAGTCTTCCCACATAATCCTTTCCTATCTGACCATTATTTAATAACTTTTGAATTCATACTATTAGATTATAAGCCATTAGGCAAAACTTCCTACAGCAGATGTCTATCTGACAGTGCTGTAGCTAAATTTAAGGAGGAGATTCCTTCAGTGTTTAATTCAATGCCATGTCTGAATTTAACAGAGTCCTATAACGACTTTAGTCCCTCCTGAAATTGATAATCTTGTCGATAGTGCTACAGGCTCACTATGATCAACATTAGACTCTATCGCTCCTATAAAAAGGAAATTATTAAAACATAGGAGACTAGCACCTTGGTATAACCACCAAACCCGCCAGTTAAAGCAAATAGCTAGGAAATCTGAAAGGAAATGGCGCTCTTCCAAATTATCAGAATATCGCTCAAATTGGCAAGATGATCTTAAGACTTATAGAAAGGCCCTCCGTAATGCCAGAGGAGCCTATTACTCAGCACTAATAGAAGAAAATAAGAACAACCCTAGGTTCCTCTTCAGCACTGTAGCCAGGCTGACAGAGAGTCACAGCTCTATTGAGCCACATATCCCCATAAACTTAAGTAGCAATGACTTCATGAGCTTCTTTTATAATAAAATTATTACTATTAGAGAAAAAATTAATCACCAACTGCCATCAACAGTTATCAGTGGCTCTCCATCAACAACAAACATTAAAACATTGAAACTGTTCGAGCAGGTCGACCATTAATCAGGAAGTGCAACGTGACGGAGGAATAAACGAGGTTGAGGCTTCAAACTGACGCTGCGGGGCTGTGAGTCAATGAACACACACACACACACACACACACACACACACATATACACACACATATATCACACACACACACACACACACACACACACACACACATATATACACACACATATATACACATATATACACACACACACACACACACACACACATATATACACTTATATATACACACACACACACACACACACACATATACACACACATATATACACATAACACACACACACACACACACACACACACACACACATATATACACATATATACACACACACACACACACACACACACACACACACACACACACACACACACACACACACACACACACACACACACACACACACACACACACACACACACACACACACACACACACACACACACACACACACACACATACACACACACTTACTTTAATCCCGACTGTTTTAAATGAGAACAAACTGTAACACTGACCTGGTACACAGCGAGTCTCTGAGTGTGTGTTAATAATACATGTAATACCCCCCCCCACACACACACACACACACACACAGACACACACACACACACACACACACACACACACACACACACACAGACACACACACAGACACACACACACACACACACACACACACACACAGTGGGAGTCACTGAAACAGAAGCATCAGAGAAGCGAGCATAACAACACAGAGAGAGAATCAGTGTAAATAATTGATTGAACACGAATCCTCCAGTTTTATCTCAGTAAATATAAATAAATAAATATATAAATAAATAAATAAATAAACAATATATAAATAAATGGGTGCTGTCAGTTAAACCCATTTTAACGGCGTCAATATTTTTATCGCGAGATTAACGTTTGTTTGACTTCGTAGTTTTTTTCACATGATGTTGCAACAACTAGTAACGTTAGAAAAACTACAACACCACACCGGATCTAGCTAGACCGGAAACAAAACAACAGGCACGCCGCACACACTTGTTTAAGAGTATTAGACGTTACGTTTTGAGTGGATGGCGAGCGCGAGACGCCGAAATGGATGCCAATAATATTCAGAATGGAAAGTTTACTATTAAAAAGTTGTCAAATGGTTCCATTGACAAGACCAAAGTGATCTGTGTGTTACTGAGCTATCATTGCAGCACGTCCAGTCTGAAATACCACTTGATGGCCAAACACACAGCTGATGCGAATTCTCCGCCCCCTCGTCAAAGCCAGGCGACAATGGATGATTTTTCAATAAAAACAACATTTGCACAAAGCAAGCCGATCCACTTTTCCATGTTGATAAGAGCATTAAAATGAGAAAAAATAATGGGACAAAAAGAAATCAAGGGACATTTAGAATAGATAAAAATGTGCGAATAATTGCGAGTTAACTATGACATTAATGCGTTTAATCGCGATTAAATATTTTAATCATTTGACAGCACTAAAATAAATAAATAAATAAAACAAATGAATATATAAATGAATATATAAATTAATAAAACAATACATACATACAAATCAGCCATCAGCCAACACCACGAAGCAACCAACACCAGACCCACACCGCAACACCAGACCCACACCGCAACACCAGACCCACACCACAACACCAGACCCACAACACCAGGCCCACACCGCAACACCAGACCCACAACACCAGACCCACACCACAACACCAGACCCACAACACCAGACCCACAACACCAGACCCACACCGCAACACCAGACCCACACCGCAACATCAGGCCCACACCGCAACACCAGACCCACAACACCAGACCCACAACACCAGACCCACACCGCAACACCAGACCCACACCGCAACATCAGGCCCACACCGCAACACCAGACCCACACCGCAACATCAGGCCCACACCGCAACACCAGACCCACACCACAACACCAGGCCCACACCGCAACACCAGATCCACACCACAACACCAGGCCCACACCGCAACACCAGATCCACACCGCAACACCAGATCCACACCACAACACCAGGCCCACACCGCAACACCAGACCCACACCGCAACACCAGGCCCACACCGCAACACCAGACCCACACCGCAACATCAGACCCACAACACCAGACCCACACCGCAACACCAGACCCACACCGCAACACCAGACCCACACCGCAACACCAGACCCACACCACAACACCAGACCCACACCGCAACACCAGACCCACACCGCAACACCAGACCCACACCAGACCCACAACACCAGACCCACAACACCAGACCCACACCGCAACACCAGACCCACAACACCAGACCCACACCGCAACACCAGACCCACACCGCAACACCAGACCCACACCACAACACCAGACCCACACCGCAACACCAGACCCACACCGCAACACCAGACCCACACCGCAACACCAGGCCCACACCGCAACACCAGACCCACACCGCAACACCAGACCCACAACACCAGACCCACACCGCAACACCAGACCCGCAACACCAGACCCACACCGCAACACCAGACCCACACCGCAACACCAGACCCACACCGCAACACCAGACCCACACCGCAACACCAGACCCACAACACCAGACCCACACCGCAACACCAGACCCACACCACAACACCAGACCCACACCGCAACATCAGACCCGCAACACCAGACCCACACCGCAACACCAGACCCACACCGCAACACCAGACCCACACCGCAACACCAGACCCACACCGCAACACCAGACCCACAACACCAGACCCACACCGCAACACCAGACCCACACCGCAACACCAGACCCACAACACCAGACCCACACCGCAACACCAGACCCACACCGCCAGACCCACACCAAGACACCAAGACACAGCCAGACAACCCCAGTTAGCTTAGCTACAGTTAGCTAGCTGGATGCCCCTGTCTCACATTGGTCTTGGCTAGTAGAAAGCTAACGTTAGCTTCATATCGCTACATCATTTATTGTTGGCTTAAATATCTTCTTATCTTCTATCTCTTTTCTCTTTTCTCTTTTCTCTCTCAGCTGTTGGACAAAGGGGATATAATGCCATTGATTATTGATTGAATCAACTCTCTAGATTTTAAAGTGTTTAATGTGTCGACACACATAAAGGCAGCAGATTAGTCATTAAGAAATGCTCACACATGCATATATAATCACACACACACACACACACACACACACACACACACACACACACACACAGATACACACTCACAGATACACACTCACAGATACACACACACACACACACACACACACACACACACACACTCACACACACAGACACACTCACACTCACACACACACACACACACACACACACACACACACACACACAGACACACTCACACTCACACACACACACACACACACACACACACACACACACACACACACAGAGTCAGTGGTGTGTGTGTGACGCTGTTTGTTCTGCCCTATATCTGCTCTGCTCCACATTACAGCTCACTGACCTGACAGAGTGTGAGTGTGTGTGTGTGTGTGTGTGTGTGTGTGTGTGTGTGTGTGTGTGTGTGTGTGTGTGTGCCAGGCTGTCGGCCAATAGTACAGCTGGATGAGTGGATCATGTGACTGGAATCAGGAAGTGTCTGCACACGTTATATCGAGCTAACAGCAGAAGCTTCTAATCAGATTTTTATAGAGATCATACAGCGGGAACGAGGGAGTAATGGATTACATCTAACTGAGTAATCAGGATACAAAAAGAATCAGATTCCAGTTATATTTAGTGAAAATGTTAATTATTATTAGCAGGATTAAAGTCCTGAGATAAAATCATTGATCGGAGTTGATAAGATATAATAGACGTCTCTCAGCAGACGCTGTAAAACGCAGTGTTTCTACGATATGTGCTGACACATCGACGACCTTAAAGTCCAGATCAAATGTTTTATTGTTTCTCTAATTTCAACCTAAAATCTACAAAGATCTACAGTCAGTGTTTGTTCAGTAACGACAGAATAAAAACATTCATATTATTAATAATCTCACTTCAGTTCTGATTTAAATCTTATTTTATTTCTGTGTGAAAACCAAGTCTGGATGCTCCAAACTGAAAATAAACTGTGTGTGTGTGTGGCTCCATTTACCCACAATGCATTGCTGTATACAGTAATTCAAACAACATCAACATATAAATCTTTAACTAAAAGAAAAGAACAGTTTTTAATACAGTGATTCACCAACGTCACTCACAGAACGACGGCCGTGTGCAACCCGTCGCTGTCGTCTTCTACTCGTCTCACAAATGTGCAAAAACACCAAAAAACATCCGTTAAACATTGTGACAGAAACTCAGATCAGTTATTTAAAGTTACAACAACCAACACAAAAAGTGTAAAACAGATAGTTATTGATCAGCTGCTCGTTCTGAAAACAGCTCTTCCTCCATATAATAAATAAAAGTGCATTTTAACAGTGTCGCACTAATTAGGTCTTATTTTGTTTATTTGTGAGTCCATAAATGTTAGTTTGATAAACTGTAGATTCAGTAAAATGTATTTATTTATTCTACGTTTCCTCGTTTGTGTCTGCGAGACTCAAATCCATCAAATTCAATCTGTGACTTATGTGAGAACGGCATTCTCCATTTGACCGCGTGGTCGCCATATTGGAGAGGTCAAGATCCGTTAGTTACCAACAGAGAGATTCAGACTGAACTACCGAAGCCACTGTTACTCTCTTCATTGTGAACACATTCTCATTAGAGTTGGTTTGTTATAAAGGTGAGAAACTGAACCTGATGCTGGGATTTATTCAGTCACTGGGGGAGTTACAGTTCATTTTATAGTTCAGTCTGAATCTCAGTGTTCAACTTGCTTATATGACGTCCGCAATTTGGCAGAGGTCAGATGTATAGCAGCGATCAATGAGGTCTCTACCTTTCTGTATCTGTGACGCGAATGTTTCATTATGTATATTTTCAGTGCTTCAATTTCATAATTTAAAGGGATAGTTCTGGTGTTTCTGAGTGCGGTTGTATGAGGTACTTATACATAGCGCCCCCTCCAGTGAGGAACTGGACATAGCCGTGAAAATATTCTGAATATTTTTAATAATAATATATATTTTTAGGAGCCCTTTAAAGGATTAACACTAACAAAATGCAACATAAACACGTTCAACTAATTTATTACTAGCTGCCTTAAATCGGCCATTTCCCTATGGGAGTTTTGTATTGCGGCTACCACAACGCTAACTCAACTAATGATACTATGACTTCACTCATCGCTGACTAGATCCAATTTATTCAATTTAAGTTATTTGTTTGGAAATATGTTTTTATATAATTACATTATTATTATTATTATTATTATACATTGCTCCACTTCCTGTTTGCTCCTGCAGGTAACACACTGACTGTGTACCTCATACAAACCCACTTCAGAAGATACAAGAACATTAATTAAATAATGTGTTACAGGAGCCTCCGAGCAGGTTAATGTGACCACGTTTATGTTACAGCCGTAGCTGATCAGTGAAGTGAAGTGAAGACATTTTCTTTATTTCTTATTGACATTATTGCTTATTATCTCTTGGTTGGTGAACAAACTCCCTGATTTTTGTTGTAGCTTGATTAATCTGTTCAATATGGGGCTACAACCAAAGCAGAGAAAATTCATAAGATCTTTTTAACAAGGGCTGAGCGAGGTCCAGATAATGTGTCAATATATGTATGTAAATATAGCAACTTTTATTGAAAACACTTGTTCTGTAATAAGTTCTCTTAAACTGCTCTAAAGATCAATACTGTTAATAGTTTTCTGATAAATATAGCAACTTCTGATCAACCCGAAATAATTTCAGGCTTAAACTTTGACATAGCCCCGCCCATTAAAGTTTAAGTCCCGTCCATTAAAGTTTAAGCCCCGCCCATTAAAGTTTAAGCCCCGCCCATTAAAGTTTAAGTTGAGTACAGTTAGTGTAGTTGCAGATAATGGTACTCGCTCATCCCTAGTTTCAACAGAAATGTCACACAAGCAGACTTAATACATATTAGCAAATAAATCAGGTAATAAATATTTAAACTCTCAATAATAAGTGTACCCTTACTTAAAAAGAACCCCCCCCACCGTGCCCGTAGCAAACATAGTGCTCTTCAGTGCCTTTACTTTGAAAAAGTCTCCCATTGTAGAAATGTTGACATCTTTGCTCGGAAAAAAAACAAAACCCCAAATATCCAAAAAACCTCATGGGGGTAAAAAGTCTTTGAAATAATCGGAGAGGCATTTCGCTTCACTTTCAGAAGAAAAAGACAAAGAAGAAAAGCGCGCAGCACCGTTGGGGAAGGTGAAGGGAAGCGCCTCTCCTCCATTAAAATCTGCTCAAATTAAACGTGACATCTGTTGTGGCATAAAACGGGCAGCAGAAGAGAGAGGGCGTGTAGTGCACTGTGGAGGATTAAAGTCATTAAACCTCCTGGGAAGAACTGTATCGCTGGTTTCAAAATAATCCACATTGCTTAAGTGTTCAGGTGCATCCCTCCGTCCCTGGATTAAATGATGAAAAAACGTTTTAGGAATTAAAAATTATGCAAATTCTGTCTTTTGTGCATCAGCATGCTGAGAAACGCTGCTACTCCCATGGAGAAAATTCAATAAATATTTCTAGAAAAGAATCCTCATCAAGGCGTCTCGGACTCGTCGTCGTCCTCAGGCGACGTCGGCGAGGTGGGTGTGTCATCCTCGTCTGCTTGCGTGGTCGCCGTGGGCAACCCAGCTGCTGCCGCTGTAGTTGTCATCTTCTCGTAGGTCCTCCTGCGCTGTCGCCGCAGTGTCTGGCTCTGCAGCTCCTTCACCTCCTGCAGGACTTCCTGCGCCTCCTTCCAGGATGACACGGCCTCCTCCAGGAGACGCTCAGCCTCTGCTCGCCTGTTCTCCACCTCCAGGTCCTCCTCCAACAGCAGGGAGGGAGGTGAAGAGGGCGGAGGTGGAGACGAGCTGTGTTTTTCAGGGGTTTTGGGCTGCGAGAACTCAAAGGATCCAGAAAGACTTGGGGAGTTCTTCTGGCTCAGGCAGGGTGACTCCTTGCTGCTCCCCAGACTCGGGGAGTCAATTTCGCTGATTTGTGGTGAATCAGATCCTTTGAGCTGAGAGGAGTCGGATCCTATGATGCATGGAGGTGACTTCTGCTGAGGAGAGCCGTCCTCCTTGTTGGCACAAAAGGAGCTGGATGATCCCTTGAGTTTTGGCGAGTGGACTGCGTCGGAGCTCTTCGTCTGAGGAGAGTCGGTGGCAGTCAGACGAGGTGTCAGTGGAGGAGAGTTGTTTGCTTTAGTGGCAGGTGAATGGGATCCTCTGGAGCGAGGCGAGTCGGCCCTTTTGGAGCGATTCCTCTTTGCTTTGGATCGAGGAGACTCTCTCCCTCTCAGACGAGGAGAGTCTTTACCCCGGAGACGAGGAGAGTCGCTGCTCCTGCTCCTTGGAGATCCAGACGACCTGCTGAGGAGGACAACAAAAATCAGTTAAACTTTGATCCCGTTTAAACAATCTGTTTACAACCTTTTAGACCCTTCGGTGTTTCCATCTTTACAAACTCATATTGCACAAATGAGCGTTGTTCAAAACAACAGACTTTTGCCCACAGGTGTGAAAGCAGGCAGGTTGAACTTCTTTTCCAGGTCTCTTTTTTGATTCTTACTACTACTTTTGTCACTTTTTGAGTGCAACATCATGAATGTAATTCGAGAAGCGACTGGGTATATTCTAGTACCCAGAGGACTCGTATAGCTCTGTTCTGGTTCACACGTCTGGTTTTGACCAGAAAGAAATTTAGTCCCAGTTGGAACCAAAATTTATCAGTTTTTCCTTGGGCGCCAAAGTGGGTGTGTCATATTCTACAGGTTGCTGTGCAGCACCCCCTGTTGGTGACAGATCCTTGATTTCAATGGTTCCACTCACAACTGGTGGAAACACGTTCTGGTACTTGAATGGAACCAGTTCAAGAACCAGAGTTAATTTGGAGAGAAAACTGTGATAGCTATTACTGTGACTCCAATGTGAAATCCAAATGCATCAACCTTATGTAATCCACCAAGTGGTCAGAAAGACGATGACATGTCCTCCCTCGACTTAATTTGGAGAGATTAAAAGTGCACATCGATACTAAGGAGGAAAATAATAAAACCAACCTGGAGTGAGGAGAGTCTGAGCCCCTGAGGTGGTGGAGGCGAGGGGAGTCGATGCCCTTCAGATAAGGTGAGCTGCCTGCTTGTTCTCTCTCTGCCTTTGCTTTCTGCAGCTCCTGTGAATCACAACACATTAGTCCTAATTACATTTTATTTGATTCTGGTTAATTAGCTCGGCTCAATGAACACATGGACGAGGTACCTGCAGTCTCATCTCCTCCAGTAGCTCCTGAGCTCTCTGCATCCTCTGGGCGATCAGGCTCTGCAGCTGACCCACCGGCTGCACTGAAGCTCTGCCCCCCGCCTCCTCTTCAGTTGGATATCGACGCAGAGCGGAGCGCAGTTCAGAGCGAATCATTGCCGGTCTGAAGAATGGGATGGAAGAGGAGGGTAAGGATGAAAGGAGGAAAGAAAAAGTTAGAGAGAAAGACATTGAACCTTTACAAGCAGAAATTAACCTTGAAGATCCCTCCCTCCCTCCCTCCATCCATCCCTCCCCCCAGATCCAGAACATACAGTAGGGATTGTTTATCCCATCAAGCCTGGGCATGTCTTCACCCAGAAGAAGCAGGAAGACACAACTAGAGCTACTTTGCTTGGTCTTATGGAGGGAGGGAGGGAGGGAGGGAGGGAGGGAGGGAGGGATGGATGGATGGATCCATTATATTAGTATCAAGTGTATTAGACCTACCTCAGGACAAATATTTAAGGTTACTGTATGATGATGGAGATGCTTGTGTGAATGTGGTGTGTCAGATGAGGAGCTGTGTTCAGTTGTACCTGGAGGACAGGACTTCATCCATGGAGGCACAGCGACTCCGGCCCTGCATGCTGAACCTCTTCCCCGGCTGCGGTGTCCGAGACTGAGCCTGAAGGACCTGAAAGGTAACATTTGATTTAAGGCTGCTGTTTGTACCTGTGGTTCAATGGAAATGCATATGAATGTCTTACATTGATGACACAAGGACAAAGGTTAGAGTTATAGTGCCCAAATCCCATGGAAATCTTGTGTGTCTCTCCATCAAAACAAAAATATAAAATTTGGGTGAATAAACCGGAGACTCTCCAATGAGGTACTGGGATAAAGATTCAGGCTCAAGTTGGATTAGGGAGCATTCGCATGGCGAGCTGTAGTCGAGGACCTGTTGAAGGTTGGGTCTTTAGATTCAGGTCTCCGATTTAGTCTCATAGTCTAGGACTTCCATGTGTGCTTTTGGCTATGTACATTAGATAGATAAAACTACAAGGATCAGAATTCTAGACTTTCCCAACATGCACCTGCTGGGACTTGTGGACCTTGGAGACCTCCAGGTGAGACTGTTTGCCCCAGGACCGCTCACTCCCCCTGGGCAGACTGCCGGTCTTTACTTTGGGTTCCTTCAAGGTCACCCGCAGCTTTGACACATCTGTGTCAGCTCGCTGACGAACTCCGACACCCCGAGATCCGACAACCTGTCCACACGACATCTGCAGGTCGGCTTGGAAGCTGTTCTCCCAGGATTCCTGCGAGTCGCCATCGTAGTCCGGAGAGAAACCATCTTCTTCAGCAACCAGGTCAAGGGTCAGCATGCCATGGGAAGAAGTGGATGCCTGAGGGGAATGGACAAAATGATTATTAAAGATAATAATGTCTTGTTTTAAAAAGGCTTTGATTAAGAAAAAGAGATCCCGGTACCACGGCCATGAGGTGTCCTCTGGTCGGCAGCCGGCGGCCATGAGGGATCTTGGCCCGGTCTCTGGTGGGATGAACCAGTGCATTGTCCTCCTCGATGGTCACCTGGACAGAGACGTACAAACTGACTCTGGTGCTGTCTGAAGAACATTTACATTTAACTCGCTTTAAAGAGAATCCATCCAACAACGCACTTCTGCGGAGGTCAGTAACCTTTTTAAAATCGTAATCAGTCTTATCAAGGTAAATAAATGCCTACCAACATCCATACCTCGTCTAAAATGCGGTTCTTGGCTTTGATGATTGCCACGTTGAGGGCATTGACCCATGATTCCTTTTCCTCCGGACTGACGGCCAGAAACAAAAGGTTGGGAGCCTGAAAAAAGACAAAACCTTTACTTTAATGTTTGGTTAGCGATAAAGATACAGCACCTGTCCACAGTTAACCAGAAGAAAAAACAAACTGACAGAAATGTTCCGGAAATCCCAGAAAACCATCTGTTGACCATTTTGAAGGTCAAGCAAGTAGTTTCTCACCATAGGGGATGGTAACGCAAGGGGTATTCACTTTGTTGCCTTTTGCAATGTCACTGCTAGAGGCCACTAAATCCTCAACACTGGTTCTTTAGTTTAAATATGCTGGAATGATTTAAAACACAGACTTCGGTGATGTCACGAAAGTCGTTGTCATTGTAGCTGCAAGTAGCTAGCCAGTGTTTTAATGTTCAGTGTAACTAATGTAGCTAATGTTTAGTGTAGCTAATGTTTAGTTTAGGTATTGTTATGTATTGTTTATGTCTGACAGAAAGCCATGCTGTTGCTAGCTAGCTAGCTAACTAATGAATCTTTGCTCTGTGTGGTTAAAAGTTGAAGATTTATTGACGAGTGAATGTATAATATAATAAAATATTATCGCACTTACGTAAATATGAGTCACATTTTTTTTACAGGAAGAAAAATGATTGGATTTCAATATGAAAAAATTGAATCTGAACTTTAATGTTGTCGTTGCTGTCCTGTTTGTTCTTTGTATTTAATCTTCTGTGTAAATTTTCCTGGTTTGACAGATTACATATTTTTTAATGTTCTTAAGAAATACTTTAATAGAGTAGATAGATTCTTTAAATATCAGTGAAACTGTTTAGTTCATTTCACACTTTTTTCTGGAAGATAAAGACATTTTATACAGAATCAACTCAAGAATAATGTCTTTATATTCTCTATTAATCTATAATATATATTATTTATTATATTATATTATATATTCTCCGTTCAGACCTGTGTCTGTAACAGAGAGAGAGTGGGTGAGAGAGGCAGACTAACATGTGAAAGTGTTTGCAGGGATTATTCTGCTGTAAACTCGTCCTCTGGCGGACTAATGGGATTCTGAGGATTAAATCTTTCCAGAGGAGAATAAAACCAGCACAGCTCGGCCAATGGCTGCAGTCGAGGCTCGAGGGTGAAAAACAATCTAATCCACCAATCCTGAGACGGACGTAGGAGGAAATCCACCAATGCAGCGACAGAGTGAGTCAGGCTGGACAGAGTAATCTCTGAGCACAGAGGACACGAGAGGAGGAAGACAGAAACAGTGAAAACAGACAGAAACAGAGTGAAGGAAGGAGGACTTTAATACTGATGCCTCTATATGACCTACATGATATTTCTATACAGTTGTTACACCGGGTCGGATTCCCTTGAAATCAAGGAAACGAGGCGGTACAAACAGTACCGCTGTTGTCCACATGGGGCGCCGATATCAACAAGCTGCTTTACGTACAGTCCTGTGCTAATGTAGCTAATGTAGCTAATGTTTATGTTAATGTTTAGCGTGCCTAATCCCGAACCAGTTCTCTGGGTTTTGACAACCAAACAACTTCCAGTGCAGCACCGACACTTTATAGACCCCGAACAGGGGCGAGTTGTGGCCAGCCAGATATTTATTTATTATTATTTATTTCATTAGCGGTTTACCACGTAGATGTTATGAATGTAACACTGAGCTAGCTGGCTAGCTAGCAAGCAGTTAGTCGGCTAACATTACCCAAGCAGGCGTAGCTACTAATATGTCACATCAGTGTTATTGATATTTAACCGTCCATTACAAACACCATCATTCTGCTGCAGGTCAACGAGACTGACAGGAGGTCAGTTCCTGTGTATCATGTGACTCACAGTGTTTCCTGGCTGCCGGCAGCGCAGCAGGGTGAAGCGGCTGTGGTTCTTCTTGCTGCGACTCTTCGCTTTCCTCAGCTCCTCCGAACGCTCATAATCAGCCAGGTCAAACACTTCCTGTGCCTTCCGCTCATCTTTCACCTGCAAACACACAAAACTCGTTCGTTACACAAGTTTGATTCTGTTTCTGTCCACTTTGAATGAAGTTACAATGATCTGAAGGTAAAATGAGTGTTTGTGTCTCTGGAGTCTGGTGGAGAGTGATAGTGATAATACGGCTGTTTGTGGTTAAACTAAAGGTCTATCTCTGTAGGGATCCTTTCCATAATGCTGTCAGACACTGACAATAACAACCTGAGTCTGTTAGTGGCAGAAACAACTACTGTTAGTGGAACAAACAACAACTACTGTTAGTGGAACAAACAACAACTGTTAGTGGAACAAACAACAACTACTGTTAGTGGAACAAACAACAACTACTGTTAGTGGAACAAACAACAACTACTGTCAGTGGAACAAACAACAACTACTGTTAGTGGAACAAACAACGACTACTGTTAGTGGAACAAACAACAACGACTACTGTTAGTGGAACAAACAACAACTACTGTTAGTGGAACAAACAACAACAACTGTTAGTGGAACAAACAACAACAACTGTTAGTGGAACAAACAACAACTACTGTTAGTGGAACAAACAACAACAACTGTTAGTGGAACAAACAACAACAACTGTTAGTGGAACAAACAACAACTTCTGTTAGTGGAACAAACAACAACTGCTGTTAGTGGAACAAACAACAACAACTACTGTTAGTGGAACAAACAACTACTGTTAGTGGAACAAACAACAACTACTGTTAGTGGAACAAACAACAACTACTGTTAGTGGAACAAACAACAACTACTGTTAGTGGAACAAACAACTACTGTTAGTGGAACAAACAACAACTACTGTTAGTGGAACAAACAACTACTGTTAGTGGAACAAACAACAACAACTGTTAGTGGAACAAACAACAACGACTACTGTTAGTGGAACAAACAACAACTACTGTTAGTGGAACAAACAACAACTACTGTTAGTGGAACAAACAACAACAACTGTTAGTGGAACAAACAACAACGACTACTGTTAGTGGAACAAACAACAACTACTGTTAGTGGAACAAACAACAACTACTGTTAGTGGAACAAACAACAACAACTGTTAGTGGAACAAACAACAACTACTGTTAGTGGAACAAACAACAACAACTGTTAGTGGAACAAACAACAACTACTGTTAGTGGAACAAACAACAACAACTGTTACTGGAACAAACAACAACTTTTGTCCCCCCAGCCACATTTGTCCCCAAGGATTAACAATGCGGCCATTTCAACCCTTTTCACAAATATTTCTCATCTTTGTCGGTGAATTAAGGATTTATTTTGACCAAACCAGAGTTGGTGATTGTTGGAATAAAGACGGTTTCAGTGAGTTTTATTTTGTTTCTTTCCAGTATTTAGTGTGTTTTACATCTGTGAGGTAAAATTACTGGTTTTGTGAATGGAGTCTGGTTGGACTGGAGCATCAGTACTTTTACTGTAGTAAAGGATCAGAATACTTTATATAACACAATTTAGCCTTTAATCAGGTTATATTCTCAGATCTGTTTACAGCTGATTTTTCCACTTTGTAAGCGACCACATGGTTCATTAACTCTACTGTTCTGGCTGATTTGGCTCAAACAAACATCAGCTGTAAGTCTCTAACTCTGAATATGAGCAGCTGTGTGTTTCAGTTCCCTGCAGACAGAAATGGAGGTTGTGTCAGTAAAAGTGTGAGTTAAACGAGTCCTCGCTCGCTGCGTTTGGTCTCCATGTTTCATTCATCAGACACATTTTAACTTCGTTCAACTTTAATCCACAAGGTTCAGCTGAGGAGAGCTGCAGTGGGTGCATCTGCTGCTGCTACAGCAACAACATAAAGGCTGCTTTACTGCCCCCTAAATCTGAGCCTTCACACAGAAAACACACATTGATTTCAATTCAGATCAATTCCAATAAGCGGCTGTGAAACCCATCGATCACAACAACAAGGTCATAACTGTGTCATTAAGACAACATGTTTAATAAGGAAAGCAGTTTAAACCCACACACACACACAAAGGGCAACTATTTACAGCTGATAATGATCCTGATCACTAATCAATACTCCCATTATTAAAGCATTAATCAACCTGATCAGCCTTCAGCAGTTAGCTAGTGTTTCTGTAGTGGAGACTAAACGTTAACAATGATCCATATCAGCAGTTTGAATCCAACTAAAAGCTCCCTGCACCAAACTCCCTTTAAGAAATATCACATTTTAACAATTCCTAACGTGTTCGTAACAACACGTAACTCTAGAAACACGAGCTAAAGGCCGTCATATGTCCACAGTCTGACTGTCAACTGACTGTGTTGAAGCTGGTGGTGTTTGTCGATATCAGTGCAGATACGATCAATATGTTCTCACAGCTGACTCACTGACAGTGTTCAACCTGTTTATAGCCTGAACGTCTGAACACCAATGAACATTAAGGAAGTAACTGATCCAACAAATCAACAACAAAAACGTTTTCTGATCAGATCTGAACAGAAACCTTCGACAATCCCAGAGGAACCTGGACAGGAATAACTCGTTAACGAGACTATACCTTTACACCAGGACACACTGTCGTTGAAATATAATGTTCAAACTACGAATCCTTATGTGTTCGTTACCTGAGAATGAGACGTTTTTGCACATTTTGCTGCTATCGTTATTTTCAGCTGATTATAAACTAATGAAAACATACACATAAATAAAGACGACGTCCCTCAGGCGGTAGAGAGTTCTGGGTCAACGTTAGTGCTCAAATACAGAAACAATATGATGGATGAGGAAAAACATCAGAATAATTACAGGAAACAGACACACACACACACACACACACACACACACACACACACACACACACACACACAGACAGACAGACAGACAGACAGACACACGCACACACACACACACACACACACACACACACACAATGAGTCATTATTCTGTTCGGTTGACCTCCAGAGAGAGAGACGTATAAAGACAACATCAACAAATAAAAAAAACTGAAATAAAACTACATGAAATACACAGAAATAATAATAATAATTATTATATATGAATAAATATTTTAAAATATTTCTCTGAGAAACAACTAATTATTTCTGGTTTTCCTCTTTTTTTAAGCTCTTTGATGACTTTAATAAATAAATAAATAATAAATAAAAGTGCTGTTGAAATGTCTAAAGTCAAAGTTGAAGCTAACGTTACTGCAACGCTCGTATATTATCATACTGTAGCTTTAGCTCGCTTGCTAACAGGTTGCTAGCCTCGCTTTGTACCGTTACATCTTTTATTGTTTATCATAAGTTAGTATCATGGCTAACGTTAGCTGGAGCCAGCCTCTAGTGGCTGATGGAGGAACTGCAGGTTCCCGATATGTCAAGGCAGTAAATATAACATTATAATAATAATAATGATGATAATAATAATAATATATATAATATATAATGATAAATATAACAATATAATAATAATAATAATAATAATAATAATAATAATAATAATAATATATAATATATAATAATATAACAATAATAAATATAACAATATTATAATAATAATAATATATATAATAACAATAATATATAATAATAAATATAACAATATTATAATAATAATGATAATAATAATAATAATAATAATATATAATGATAAATATAACAATATAATAATATATAATATATATATAATATATAATGATAATATAACAATAATAAATATAACAATATTATATAATAATAATAATAATATATAATAATAATAATAATAATAATACAAATATAATATATTATAATGTTATAATGATAATAATAATAATATATATAATAATAATATATATAATAATAATATATATAATAATAATAATAATAATACTAATATAATATATTATAATGTTATAATGATACAAATATAATATATTATAATGTTATAATGATAATAATAATTCATGATAATAATAATAATGATAATAAGCGTGGGTCCTGCTCACCTCTTTGTCGGAGACGTAGAGCCGGTCTCCTCTCAGGACCACGAACCGGTTCCTCCACAGTTCTCTGAAGATCCCTCGGCCGCAGAACTTCCTGATCCAGCCCACTTTGTCCGGCTGCTGGACCGCCTGCTGACCCGAGTCCTGAACGCCCTGAAAGAGCACGACACAAGCGGATCAGAGAGGAACCACCAGAACCGTCAGAGTCTGATCCAGGATCTTATTATTATTATTATTATTATTATTATTATTATTATTATCATTATTATTATGCATTGTAATATAATATTACTGCATTATAATATAAGATTACTGCATTATAATGATATTACTGCATTATAATATATATTAGCATTTATGATATTACCTTTAATGATATTACTGCTTATAATATATTTTATTATAATGATATTACTGATTAATATTACTGCATTATAATATAATATTACTGCATTATAATATAATATTACTGCATTATAATATAAGATTACTGCATTATAATGAATATTACTGCATTTTAATATAAGATTACTGCATTATAATGAATAATACTGCATTACAATGAATATTACTGCATTATAATATAATATTACTGCATTATAATATAATATTACTGCATTATAATATAATATTACTGCATTATAATATAAGATTACTGCATTATAATGAATATTACTGCATTTTAATATAAGATTACTGCTATTATAATGAATAATACTGCATTACAATGAATATTACTGCATTATAATATAATATTACTGCATTATAATATAATATTACTGCATTATAATGAATAATACTGCATTACAATGAATATTACTGCATTATAATATAATATTACTGCATTATAATATAATATTACTGCATTATAATGAATATTACTGCATTACAATGAATATTACTGCATTATAATGAATATTACTGCATTACAATGAATATTACTGCATTATAATGAATATTACTGCATTATAATGAATATTACTGCATTATAATATAATATTACTGCATTATAATGAATATTACTGCATTATAATGAATATTACTGCATTATAATGAATATTACTGCATTATAATGAATATAACTGCATTATAATGAATATTACTGCATTAACTGGTGTGAATATGAATGACTGATATAAATATTATATTCACATTGATTCCTATCACAGAGCTGATCATAAACTGATCACTCTATCAGAAGATCAATAAATGTGATGGATGATTGATGATAAATAAAATGATCATTATAGAAATATCAAGTAGCTCCGACCCGTCTGCTCTGGTTGCTTTTCTTCATCCTCCTCCGGTCCTCCGGTCCTCCGGGACCCACAGGACAATCACACCGACGGGGAGGAGGTTCGGCCCGGCGGGAGGTTCGGCCCGGCCCCGGTGACTCTGAGCCCGGTAGATCCTGGAGGCGGTGTCGGTGGATCGGTTCAGTCCGTCCGATTCTCGTTCAGCTCGTCTGTTGTCTGAACGGAGGCATCCTCCCTGAGGTGTGTGTGTGTGTGTGTGTGTGTGTGTGTGTGTGTGTGTGTGTGTGTGCGGAGACAGATGCTCTCTCTCTCTCTCTCATCACGCTCGTGACACGCGGACGCGCACGGTAGCCTATATTCCGGTAAAAAAAAAAAAATGGTGTCCGACAGCGCCATCTACCGACACACACACACACACACACACACACACACACACACACACACACACACACACACACGCCCTAAACAAAGAGCCGATCATTCAGAGGATCGATCATAGTATTGATCACATGACAATGTTTCATTAAACATCATTGGAGGAAATAATGAGTCATAGTTTTTATTTATTGTGTACGGAAGCTCATTTGTGACCTGAAGGGAAAAAATATAAATATTCATCTATATAATCTATTCATATTATATTATAATCTAATATATAAATATTATAATATAATATAATCTATTAATATTATAATATAATCTAATATATAAATATTATAATATAATATAATCTATTAATATTATAATATAATCTAATATATAAATATTATAATATAATATAATCTATTCATATTATAATATAATCTAATCTATTCATATTATAATATAATCTAATATATAAATATTATAATATAATATAATCTATTCATATTATATTATAATCTAATATATAAATATTATAATATAATATAATCTATTAATATTATAATATAATATAATATATAAATATTATAATATAATATAATCTATTCATATTATATTATAATCTAATATATTAATATTATAATATAATATAATATATAAATATTATAATATAATATAATATATAAATATTATAATATAATCTAATATATAAATATTATAATATAATCTAATATATAAATATTATAATATAATATAATCTATTAATATTATAATATAATCTAATATATAAATATTATAATATAATATAATCTATTAATATTATAATATAATCTAATATATAAATATTATAATATAATATAATCTATTAATATTATAATATAATCTAATCTATTAATATTATAATATAATATAATCTATTAATATTATAATATAATCTAATCTATTAATATTATAATCTAATATAATACTATTATTATATAATCGAATATATTAATATTATAATCTAATATTATAATATCATATAATCTATTAATATTATAATATAATCTAATATATTAATATTATAATCTAATATTATAATATTATCATATAATCTCATATAACATTGTAAAACTTTATGAGGTATTAAATCAAAATTATTATTATTACCAAATTATTAAGTAAAAATGAAGCGATATTAAATTAAAATGATGAGATATAAATAAAGTATTTTTTATTAATCACAATTCCGGTTTTATTTTGGTCATTTTTAACATTTGATTACTTTTTATTTTCTTCCATTAACAATAATTAACATAAAGTTTAATGAACGTTGATTCATCGTCCGTCTGAAGCTTCTTTCTCTTCTTCCTTCTTGTCCAAACAAAACTCTGCAGAGACAAAGAAGAAGAGAAGAAGAGATGAAGAAGATGAAGATGATGAAGAGCAGTCACTCAGACAGTGAAAGCAACAGATTGTCCTGTTGGTCAACTTTAGTTGCTCAGTGGATAAAATGCAGCAGACTGCTAACACTGTATTTATGCTAACACTTTAGCTTCCACAGCTCTGCGTTATGTTGAGTGATATTAGCCTCCATGCTAACACTTTAGCTCTTGCTACATTTAGCTACAGCTAGGCTAGCTGTTTCCCCCTGCTTCCAGTCTTAATGCTAAGCTAGGGATAGCATTTGGTTAGCTAGGTTAGGAGATGGATGGATCCGTTGTTGTTCGGCCTCGCTCTGACCTGCGATCCCGTCGTAGTTGAACTGTGACAGGATGTTGAATTTCAGACACTCGGCCGTCTGCGCGTTAGCGCTCCGAGCGGCTTTCAGCTGCTCGACGTCGAGATGTTTCCCCTCGCTCCCTGAGGAAGGACAGGAAGTCATCAGCAGCAGCGAGGAGGTGACATATTCAGTGCTAACACTAGCTGGGTGATAGCATGTCTGTGCTAACACTTGTGTCGGTCTCACTGTAGATCAGCAGCATCCTCCCCGGGGTTCCCTCGAAGACTCCGTGGTAGACCATCGTCAGACATTCGGGGCAGCTCTGGTACACGTCGGCTCGGCCCTGGTCGTCGTACGGAGACACCTTACTGTCGAACTCCTGGACTGGAAGACATCCAGACACAAGGAGACAACAGCAGTTTCATTCGGTGCCCTAGCCCAGCTCGGGTCGTTGCCCCCGTTCCAGCCTCAGGGGGCAGTAACAGGATCAGTTCTGATTAATACTGAACTCAAATCAAATGACAACCAGATGGTTTTGGTGCTGACGCCGTAATGAAAGTTTTGGGTCGGGACTCACCGGAACTGAGCAGGAGGAGGGTGTGGTTGGACGTCTCGGGGTCGGGAGCAGACAAGTTTCCACGGAAGATCAGACACATCCCGCTCCTGGAAAACACAAAACACGACCGACCTGAGAGACGATCGATAGAGAGGATCGATAGAGAGGATCGATAGAGAGGATCGATAGAGAGGATCGATAGAGAGGATCGATAGAGAGGATCGATAGAGAGGATCGATAGAGAGGATCGTTAGAGAGGATCGATAGAGACGATCGATAGAGACGATCGATAGAGACGATCGTTAGAGAGGATCGATAGAGAGGATCGTTAGAGAGGATCGATAGAGACGATCGATAGAGACGATCGTTAGAGAGGATCGATAGAGAGGATCGATAGAGACGATCGTTAGAGAGGATCGATAGAGAGGATCGATAGAGAGGATCGTTAGAGAGGATCGATAGAGAGGATCGATAGAGACGATCGATAGAGACGATCGATAGAGACGATCGATAGAGACGATCAATAACTCTTGAGTTGAACCAGCAGTGTTTGTATAACAAACAGTGAGACTGGATCAATATCGATACAGTAGATCAATAACTCATCCTTCTGCTCACTGTGAGGAACAGATATATGTATGTTTGTATGCAGCATCTATTGATTGATTTATTGATTGATTTTACCCACTGTACCATTTATGGTGTGGGAAGTAGTTCACTGTTTGGGTTCAGCTGTTATTGATACTAATCAATATGAAATATATTGATACCAATCAATATGTAATGTATTGAACATACAGTCAGTTGACTCACTGATAAGGTTAATAAACTATGGAAGCCCAGTTCTGCCAAAGTAATGGAAAAAGAGATTCTGTAAGTTAATATAATGAGAAACTTTAAATGTTTAACATTTGCATTCGGGCTTCCGTAGCTTCGGTCTCTTACACGGTGTTCCTCTCGGTGAACTGGACGGTTTCATTGTCATCTTTCAGGTCCACCTCCAGGAGCGAGCTGTTGAGTCTGGACACCAACTCCACACCTGCTGGGTAATCTGCGAACGCCTGGACCAGAACCCAGCGCACCTCCAGAACCTGCAGATACAGATTGTGAGTCCAGACCTGCCCTGCCTCCCCCCCCCATACAGGACCTCTGCAGTTAGATAGTGACTGAGTTCCCACCTTGCGTAGATGCGGTTTGGTCAGCCTCTCGGGCAGGCCACATCCTTCAGGGGCTGCGTTGGAGCCAAGAACCATCAGAACCAGAACCAGAACCAGCAGACCGGTTTTGTGTAGAACCCACATCCTGGATCAGACAGAACCTGCAGGGTGGATTATTGATGACTGGAGGAAGTGACTGTGAGGTGGATCACAGTCTCTTATAAAGACCGCTGGAGGACCACAGCTGGTCCAAAGTGTATGTGTGCTTAAAGGATCTGGTTCAGTCCAGACCTGGACCCAGAGCCCTGGACCCTGGATGTCAGGACGCAGGAGGACCAACATGTGACCGCTACTGTAAATATTGGGTTTAGTATCCGTATCGATTTTACGATGGGGTATTTTTTTGGAAATTACGAGAATAAAGTCGTAATAATACCAGAAAAAAAGTTGTTTTAATGAGAAAAAAGCTTCCATAGAGTTATCAAGATCTGACGTGAGCAGCTCAACCAATCAGCAGCCTCAGCCTGAGCCCAGCAGCCGCTGTTTGTCTCAGTCGTACCGTACAGTCAACAGGTAAACTAACGTATTGATCATTTCGTCCTTAAACAGTTTTGTTGGCTGAGCCAACAGGCTGACAGTTCTCATAGAATTACTACTTTATTCTCGTAATTCCCCCCGCCAAAACATTTTTTTCTCTTAGTATGGCCCTAATACTCCGTCGTACGATTTTTTACTCTCACTTGGAAACAAACTTTAAACCACTGAACCAACTGTAGGTACTACTGCTGATACAAATCCATCCCTGATCAATCACTGATCACTGATCAATTACTGATCAATGTATATTATGTATTTTATTCTCCTTTTAAAGTCCTGAAACAAAAGTGAAAAAATATTTAAAACTTAGAAAAATTATGAGAAAAATAATTAACTTGTCTTTCAGAACTTCCATAGAAACATAGAAATATAGTTTATTTTATTTACTAGTTCAACTTGTTTCTGTTTCATCTGACTATTTTATTTGTTTATGAAAAAAAGTAAACCGTTCACTAAATTATGCAAAAAAAATGTTTTAACATTAAACTTTATATAAAATTGTTTAAAAAGATTTATCTGTTTTCTACGGAGGCCCTAAAGGGACATGGGCAAAAACAATGTTTCTTGTTTTTGAACAAAACTTTCCGTAGACTTCAAAGATGAAAACAAAATTAAAAACCTATTCTGGCCTTTCAGGGCTTCCGTAGATTTGTTCTTGGAGAATTTAAGAGATTAATGTGATCAGCTGTACGGAGGCTACGAGATGAAACATTAACGAGGTTAACGCCTTATTCTCTGTCCTCAGTCGCTCCGGAAAACTCAAAGTCAAAGTCTCTGTTTGTCTCCAATGTTTCAGCTTCAGTGATCAATGAATCAATTATTAATGATCAGTTGATCAGGTCAAATAAAACAAACAAACACTGGAGGAGGATTTCAGGACAGGAAACATTTATTAAATATTTCAGAGTAAAGCGAGCAGACACAAACAGGTCAGCAGTAAACACAAACAAACAAACAAACAAACAAACAAACAAACAAACAAACAAACATGGCCACCGCCGCCGCCAGGGAATGTTGGGTTTGTCTTCAGGGACATTCCCGTGTGTGTGTTCAGCGCCTGTTTCCGTGGCGACCACTTCCTTGTGCTCTGTCGCCGCTGTGACCCGTGGCTGACATCACTTCCTCCAGGAAGCTGAGAGAGAGACAGAGAGAGACAGACAGTCAGAGACAGAGAGAGAGACAGAAAATCAGAGAGACAGACAGTCAGACAGAAAGAGAGACAAATTATCAACAAGCAAAAAGAAACATATATTGAATACTGGAAAGAAACGACCAAAACACAAAGTAAATTACAATGTTATCTGACCCTAAAACGAGAATTCACACTGGCAAATGACCTGAGCACAATAAAATGTCCTAAACTAAGAACAATGTTGACAATGTACAGACTGAGTGAACACAGCCTGGCCATAGAAAGATGTTTTGAAAGATCATGACATTGGTTTTCTTCATGTTTACTGCCAGGGCCCAGTTCTGACAGAACCTTTCTACTACGTCCAGCTGTAGCTGTAGTCCTTGTTCAGTAGGAGGCAGTAGAACAAGGTCATCAGCATAAAACAGAGACTTCACCTCTCCATCTAGGAGGGAGAGGCCCGGAGCAGCACATTTATCTAACTCAACAGCCAGTTCATTTATATACACGTTAAATAAAGCCGGACTTAGATTGCAACCCTGCCGAACGCCTCTTCTCTGGGGGAAGAAATCAGTTAGTTTGTCTCCAGTTTTAACAGCACCCGTTTTCCAAATACATTGATTTAACCAGATCATACATTCTGCCACCTATACCACAGTTTAAAAGTCTGTAATAGAGCCCTTCATGCCAAACAGAGTCAAAAGCTTTCTTGAAATCAATAAAGCAGGTGAATATTTTTCCATTCTTAGTTTGTTGTACCTGTTTGTTGATTAAAGTGTGAAGGGTATATACACTGTCGGTGGTGCGTTGTTTTGGGAGGAAGCCAATCTGACTTTTACTTAAGATTAACTGTTCCTCAAGGAAATCTAGTGTTCTTGTATTAAGAATACTACAGAATAGTTTACATAGACAGCTGCTGACACAGATGCCACGGTAGTTATTAGGGTCTGATTTGTCCCCACTCTTATGAATGGGGGAAATGAGCCCTTTGCACCAGATGTTGGGAAAACATCCTGCCTGTAGTATAACATTGAACAAATGTAACACTGCACCCTGCATTTCTGGGGTGCTGCTTTTGAGCATTTCGTTTCTAATGCTGTCTGGACCACAAGCTTTCCTTGGCTTCAGACATTTTGTCTGTATGGTTATTTCTTCCCAAGTAATTTCGAAATCAAGGGGGTTTTGGTTGTCTTTAATTGTTTCTTCTAATTTTTGGAGTTTTTCTTTCATAATACACTGATCTGAATGAATTTGATTGATTGGTATGTCTTTGTACAGATTTTCAAAATGTGATCTCCAGATGTCACCGTTTTGGATGGGTAATGTCTGCTGTTGCTTTGTGTTGAACTTGTTCCACATATCCCAGAATTGATTTTGGTTAATGGCATTCTCAATATCTTCCAGTTTCAATTGGGTATAATTTTGTTTTTTGAACCCAATTGTGTATTTTTATGTATTTAAAATGTCACTGGATCGAATGCGCAGGGCTGGGTTGTTCGGTTGGTGATGTTTCTCATTTGCTATTTTTCTCAGCTCTTTTCTGATTGTTTTGCATTCTTGATCAAACCATTGGTCAGTATTTTGCCTTTTAACAGGTCTGTCTTTGCTTTATGAGGTCAGCCCTAATAGCTGCCTTATGAAATATCATATTGATATCCTCAATGGCCTTGTTTACCCCATCTCTGGTAGGGACATATTGATTTTGAGTATATATTGATATGTAATTCATCAGATCAGGGAAGTTTAAAGCCTTGATGAATTTGTCTCCACTGTCTGAGGCCCATCTGTAAGAAGGATTTCTTTTATACAGCTTACTGGGTTCCCTTTTTGTGTCACTAATTTGTCCGGACAATTTAAAGAACACATTAATTTGGTTGTGGTCTGAAAGGGGAGATTGCTGTCTGACAGTGAATGCACTGATAGTTGAGGGGTCCATGTCAGTGATTGCATAGTCTACAACACTAGACCCAAGAGCTGAGGAGTCTGTGAACCTCCCTAAAGAGTCCCCTCTGAACCTACCATTAACTACGTACAGGCCTAAGGCCAGACAGAGATCTCCCTGCCACTTTAATTTAATATAGAGTCAAGGTTATTCCGACAGGTGATGTTTGGTGTGGTAAACAGGGGGGCCTGACCAAATACATGGTTGTTGCCCTGTGTGTCAATGATATCAGGTTCAATTCCTGTACGTCCATTCAGATCTCCAGTTAGAAGTAATTACTGTAATATTGTTTTCCTTTATTGTTACTATTATTATTTTTAATTCCAAACACTTGCTTTGGCAATATGTACAGTGTTACTTCATGCCAATAAAGCCATTTAAATTGAATTGAATTGACAGACAGTCAGAGAGAGAGACAGACAGTCAGAGAGACAGACAGAGAGTGTGTTACCTCTTGGTGTTGTGCACGCTGCTCCCTCCCAGCACTATACGGACTCCAGGTGTGCTGCGGTTCAGGTTGTAAACAGTCAGAGCTTCTTCGTACATCGTTCCACCGATCAGGAACACGATGATGTCCTGAGGCCTGTACGTGTCACACACACACACACACACACACACACACACACTCTATTATATATACTGTTTATTTTGTAGAAGATTCCTACTTGATCCTGATCAATATGAACCGTTACCGGTCTCTGAGGCTGCTGGGTCCGAGGTACGGGAACTGACTGTCCTTCAGTCGACCTTTAATCAGCTGATCCAGAGTGTCGTGAAGGAGAGGTTGATGCTGAGTGTACACGTTCTCTACACCCTGCACACAACCACACACACACACACACACACATTACTACCAACATTTCACAATAAAACTAAAAACAAATCAGCTTTATCAATAACTAATCAAACACTTCCTGATTAAATGTGTGAGGTCACAGGTTGTAGTGTGTGTGTGTGTGTGTGTGTGTGTGTGTGTGTGTGTGTGTGTACCGAGAGGCCTTTGAAGAACTGTTTGGTGATGGCGACAGCGTCCGTCGGCGTGATGAGGTCACTTCCTCTCACTCTCTTCCCTCCATACTCGACCACTGCCTTCACCATCTGAGAGGGAGCACACACACACACACACACACACACACACACACACACACACACACGTTGAATTCTAAATGAAACATCTTTCAGCGTCCAATCAGGGCCGAGCTGTGCGTGATGACATCGTTACCCTGCGGTGTCGCTCGGAGACGCCCCTCCGGCTCAGCTCGTCCATCAGGGCCGGCAGGATGCTGTTGCTGTGGCGCTCGTATCGGAGAGCGTAGAGCATGACGAGACGGACGGCGTCCAACTCTGACAGACGAGGATTCTGCAGCAGCCGTCGGACGCTCTGAGACAGGAAGCAGAGAGAGAGACTGTGAGAGAGAGAGAGACCATAAAGCGGCGTGACCGTATCAGTCCAGATCCTGCGTGAGCAGACGAGCCGCCAATGAAAGCAGAGCAACTCGCTGTACGTGACCTCCGCTGGCTGCTAAACACCAACATGGAGACGACTGTAAAGCCCAACTGGAGGTTCAGAGCACCACAGACTGGCGAGGGACCACAGAGTCTCAGCTGATTCTGTAGCAGTCTAAATCTCCAATATGGCGACCGCACTTCAATTGTGCGGGCAGTACAGCGGTCTACCTACAGGGGGCGGTGAGGTGTCAGCTGTAGTTACAGCGGTCTACCTGCAGGGGGCGGTGAGGTGTCAGCTGTAGTTACAGCGGTCTACCTGCAGGGGGCGGTGATGTGTTAGCTGTAGTTACAGCGGTCTACCTGCAGGGGGCGGTGAGGAGTCAGCTGTAGTTACAGCGGTCTACCTGCAGGGGGCGGTGAGGTGTTAGCTGTAGTTACAGCGGTCTACCTGCAGGGGGCGGTGAGGTGTCAGCTGTAGTTACAGCGGTCTACCTGCAGGGGGCGGTGAGGCGTTAGCTGTAGTTACAGCGGTCTACCTGCAGGGGGCGGTGAGGAGTCAGCTGTAGTTACAGCGGTCTACCTGCAGGGGGCGGTGAGGTGTCAGCTGTAGTTACAGCGGTCTACCTGTAGGGGGCGGTGAGGTGTCAGCTGTAGTTACAGCGGTCTACCTGCAGGGGGCGGTGAGGTGTTAGCTGTAGTTACAGCGGTCTACCTGCAGGGGGCGGTGAGGAGTTACCTGCTGAGCGTTGGAGTGGTCGTTCTGACAGGCCAGTTCCTGCTCCACCTCTGAGACCTCCATCAGCTGACGCTCCGACACCAACCGGGACAACTCGCCCACCACAGTCACGTGTTTGGAGACGGTGCCCGACATCTTCTTAAACTGAGGGTAGTTATCTACAAACGCCTACAGACACACAGTCAGTGAACATACAGTCAGTGAACATACAGTCAGTCAGTGAACATACAGTCAGTCAGTGAACATACAGTCGGTCAGTGAACATACAGTCGGTCAGTGAACACACAGTCAGTCAGTGAACATACAGTCAGTGAACACACAGTCAGTGAACATACAGTCAGTGAACACACAGTCAGTGAACATACAGTCAGTCAGTGAACATACAGTCAGTGAACATACAGTCAGTGAACATACAGTCAGTCAGTGAACATACAGTCAGTGAACACACAGTCAGTGAACATACAGTCAGTCAGTGAACAGTCAGTCAGTGAACACACAGTCAGTGAACATACAGTCAGTCAGTGAACAGTCAGTCAGTGAACATACAGTCAGTGAACATACAGTCAGTGAACACACAGTCGGTCAGTGAACATACAGTCAGTCAGTGAACATACAGTCAGTGAACACACAGTCAGTCAGTGAACATACAGTCAGTGAACACACAGTCAGTGAACACACAGTCAGTGAACAGTCGGTCAGTGAACAGTCAGTCAGTGAACATACAGTCGGTCAGTGAACATACAGTCAGTGAACATACAGTCAGTGAACATACAGTCAGTCAGTGAACAGTCAGTCAGTGAACATACAGTCAGTGAACATACAGTCAGTCAGTGAACAGTCAGTCAGTGAACACACAGTCAGTGAACATACAGTCAGTCAGTGAACAGTCAGTCAGTGAACATACAGTCAGTGAACACACAGTCAGTGAACACACAGTCAGTGAACATACAATCAGTGAACATACAGTCAGTGAACATACAGTCGGTCAGTGAACAGTCAGTCAGTGAACAGTCAGTCAGTGAACATACAGTCAGTGAACATACAGTCGGTCAGTGAACAGTCAGTCAGTGAACAGTCAGTCAGTGAGCACACAGTCAGTGAACATACAGTCGGTCAGTGAACAGTCAGTCAGTGAACAGTCAGTCAGTGAACATACAGTCAGTGAACATACAGTCGGTCAGTGAACAGTCAGTCAGTGAACAGTCAGTCAGTGAGCACACAGTCAGTGAACAGTCAGTCAGTGAACAGTCAGTCAGTGAACATACAGTCAGTGAACATACAGTCAGTGAACAGTCGGTCAGTGAACAGTCAGTCAGTGAACATACAGTCGGTCAGTGAACATACAGTCAGTGAACATACAGTCGGTCAGTGAACATACAGTCAGTGAACATACAGTCGGTCAGTGAACAGTCAGTCAGTGAACATACAGTCGGTCAGTGAACATACAGTCAGTGAACATACAGTCAGTCAGTGAACAGTCAGTCAGTGAGCACACAGTCAGTGAACAGTCAGTCAGTGAACAGTCAGTCAGTGAACATACAGTCAGTGAACATACAGTCAGTGAACATACAGTCAGTGAACATACAGTCAGTCAGTGAACATACAGTCAGTGAACATACAGTCGGTCAGTGAACATACAGTCAGTGAACATACAGTCAGTGAACATACAGTCAGTGAACATACAGTCGGTCAGTGAACATACAGTCAGTGAACATACAGTCAGTGAACATACAGTCAGTGAACATACAGTCGGTCAGTGAACATACAGTCAGTGAACAGTGTCTGTGTCTCACCTTCATATCAGAGATGGACTCCAGCTTCTGTTGACCCTTCGGACGCTTCTTCTGGAAATCCTCCATCAGGTTCTTAATGTTGGTACCGATCTCACCGAAGTTCAGGTACAAGTTCTGATACAGAGACGTTGATCAGTACACTGTATCTTTATTGATTATTGATCAGAATACACTGTATCTTTATTGATTATTGATCAGTATACACTGTATCTTTATGGATGATATTGATCAGTGTACACTGTATCTTTATGGATTATTGATCAGTATACACTGTATCTTTATGGATTATTGATCAGTATACACTGTATCTTTATTGATTATTGATCAGTATACACTGTATCTTTATTGATTATTGATCAGAATACACTGTATCTTTATTGATTATTGATCAGTATACACTGTATCTTTATGGATGATATTGATCAGTATACACTGTATCTTTATGGATGATATTGATCAGTATACACTGTATCTTTATGGATGATATTGATCCTGTATTGACAGTCAGACTGTGGACATATGACGGCCTTTAGCTCGTGTTTCTAGAGTTACGTGTTGTTACGAACACGTTAGGAATTGTTAAAATGTGATATTTCTTAAAGGGAGTTTGGTGCAGGGAGCTTTTAGTTGGATTCAAACTGCTGATATGGATCATTGTTAACGTTTAGTCTCCACTACAGAAACACTAGCTAACTGTTGTTAGCTGTTAGTCTGATAAGGTTGTCTGACGTTGACTGCTGGTAGTTATTAGTTTGATTTAGACTCACGTTAGCGTAGAACTCGTCGTTCTCAGCAGACAGAACCACCTCCTTCAGGTCCTTATTGATCCCCGGCACTCTGGAGAGGTCGATCCGGTTATTGTTGAGACCCAGCAGCTCGTGGACCATCGCCTGGTACGTCCACTGCAGGAAATATTAAAAAAATATTTCAGGTTATTAGGGACCGAGCCAGTATCAACTGGAGGTCCCTATTATTTTTGTTCGATTTCTTCTTCTTACCTATTATTATTATTTTAAGCCCCCTTTGACTGCATTTTTTCCCCCCTGAACATATACGAAAACTCAATTTTATTTGGGAAAGTGGTCAGGCCTGGTGAAAATGGGGATATTCTGTGCGTCGCTTTCAGGTTGGCCACTAGGTGGCGCTACTATCATAAAAAATGTAATTAGGCTAATAACTTCTGCATAGTTTGTCACACATTCAAAAACCTTATATCCACGTGTTCGGTGAATGGAGCTGAATCTCCCCATATAGGCCACGCCCACTTCCGCCTACATTTTTTTTAAAAAATGTCCAGAAACTACTTTTCCGTGTTCCTCCTACACGCTTTGTCCGATTCGCACACAATTTTTCACGTAGCATGTGGGGACCGTCCTAATAAAAAAGTAATTCAAAGAATTTTGATATTAAAAAAAATAAGCACGTTATAAAATTAGCACTTCCTGTAGATTTTTCGTCAAAAAAGGAAGTGGACCATTTCTCCACGTTGGTATCTCCGATTGACACCAAGCTTGGGTCCATGGTTCCACATGTCTTTCTTAGGCATCCTGCACAATTTCAGGTCATTATTATTATTATTGTTATTACTACGTTATTATAATGTCCCATCCCATAATTGACCCTTCCGAGGCCACGCCCCTTCTTTCTCTGTGCACCAATCACAGTTGAGCCTCGGTCAACTTCCTCCTTTCCTGTACTCAGATATGCTATATGACAAAAGACAACCACATTTTGAAGATGGTTAAAAGATAAACGAGACAAATATAGAGTCTCATCTAAAGTTAGCTAATGTTAGCAAAATGCTAGCTTACAAGCTAACTTACAATTTATTTAAAGTA